GCTTGCAAGTAATTCATGTTCTCCGTAAAGCATTCATTAAAATTGCTATATAAATTGGAAAACTTTCATCACGATCTTTCTATGATCATGGCATTCAATGAATTTAAGGAGTGAATTTTGTATTATCTGAGGATGGTTCAATCCAAGAGCCGAAACATGTAATGTAATATGTTATGTAAGCTGTTATTTACAGAATTTCTTTATACATTTAATATATCATATCATAATTCTTACGTATATGCTTAATTACATTGACTCTTATGTGCCCTATACATCTTTGTATAATCTTTTTGAATATAATATTTAAATTTCAAAAAATCTATAGAAACTCAATTTCTTGGAAAAATACCAAAATTTTTATATGTACATTTATGCACCTTCTAGACACTTTCTGTATTATTTTTTAAGTATATCTAAATTTTTATTCATTAAAAAATAAAAGAATACCTTCAAAATCGGTTCTTAAACGTAAAATTCCCTTTGAGAAACATTTTTTTCAATAAACGTGAAATTTTATATGAAATTTATGCTTATTATTTTACCTTTTTCTACAATAGATAATCATACACCCGTAACCGTAACAAAAAAAAATCTAAAAAATCATCAGTTACAATTATCGATAACAAAGCTTGGATTTCGGATTTTTCCGATCAAAAACTGAAAAAAATCGAAAAAGACTGTTATTGGTAAAAGGATCGAAACTGGAACTAAAATCAAAATTGGATTCAGCCTCTGATCAAAAATGAAATTTTGGTCCGAGTACCTGGTATGTTATAGATACATAGTCATAGTACATAGCCATAGTACTGCAATCATATTATATTTCAATTATAATTTCAAAATATAAAATTTATAAAATAGAAAAGACTATATGCCCAGTTTTATAGGGGAATTTGGGCTTGGATAAACAAATTTGAGACATGCCTAAAATTTTAAGATATCAAAAGAGAATAATTCCATAGGCTCAACTTTATAGAAGAGGTTTCCTGAATGCTGGAACTATACAAAGTTCGCTATTATGACCATGTACCACAAGTTTTATTCAATTTCTCTGCCCAGTAAACAAGAATAAATTGAAATGGATTAAAATGGATTCAGATTTTCAGAAATACGGATTCATGAATGTTAAAATGAATCCTTTTTAATCCTGAATACATTTTTATTCATTTATAGGAATGGCATGGAGTATATTTCTGCTTTTCAATCTAAAAATAATATTATAATATTTTGTGTTCATCGTGAATATTGCTCAGTTTAAAATTCTGAATAAGGAATGCAGTTTTTTAATCCAATAGAATCTAAAAATAATATCGGCCATTTCTGTGCATTGTGAATACTGCTTAATTTAAAATTATGAATAAGAAATGCAGTTTTTTAATCCAGTTGAATCTAAAAATAATATCAGCCATTTCTATGCATTGTGAATAATGCTAAATTCAAAATTCTGATTAGGAAATGCAGTTTTTTAATCCAATTGAATAAAAAAAAATTTGTCTTGTAATGTCACTTTTTTAAAATGGGTCATGAATGCTATTCAAAATTGTGAATAGAAAATTTATTGTTTCATTTAAAAATACATCATGAATGCTATTTTAGAATTATGAATAAGAAATAGTTCGTTTTAATTCAATTGAGTTAAAAAAAAGTACCATAAATATATATCATAAATGCTATTTCATTTAATAGAAATTTAAAAGAAACGTTTAAAAGAAACATAAAAAGAACTACATAAATACATATGTACAATAAATGTTACATATGTAAATTCCTTATTCTTAATTAATAAATTAATCGCTTTTATGTATATTTTATGTATATTAATATACATAATGTTTCTTTTATTATACAGTTAGCGTATATTTTTTGTATAAAAGTTTTAAAATAATACTATAGAATTTCATATAATTATTACTTTAATTTATTTAAACTTTCACACGTATAAAATTTTTTTTTTATTATATATGGAATTCAATTTATTTTTATGGATTTAAAATACGGATAGATTTGGATAGATTGAAAATTTCCAATACATTTTTGTTTGCTATGTGTGTCCACGACACCTCCCCTCGGTGACGGTGGTAACAGATTGTACCAAAGACATTGAAGTAATATCTAAAATGTATTTGGTACAGTTCATTAATCCGGTTGACAGTTATGTGGTATCTGGAATATGCCCAACACTTTGATACAGACATCCTTATCCATCAAACAAGAACAGATTAAAATGGATTGAAATTTTTTTCTATCCGAATATTTTAAATAGCGCATACTTTTTTTTTTATTTAATTGGATTCAATTGGATTTAATTAGATTCAATTGAATGCAATTGGATTGAAAAACTACATTTCCTATTTAAAAATTTGAATTGAACAGTACTCATAATTGTGTTTGTGTACACAGAAAAAGCTAATATTATTATTAGATTGAAAGGTGTAGAGATATGCTCCATGCAAATCCTATAAATGAATAAAAATGCATTCAGAATTGAAAAGCATTTATTTTAACATTCATGAATCAATATTTCTGAATCCATTTCAATTCATTTCAATCCATTCTTATTTGCTGGGTATGCCAACAAGAACAGTTAATGATGTTTTTTTATTTTTAAAAAGTTCCGATGAAAATGCTGAAGAGAGATAAGGTCCATATATTGGTCATATCAATTAGGCAATTAAAACCTTTTGTTTCATATTCTGAATGTCTCTCTCTCTCTCTCTCTCTCTCTCTCTCTCTCTCTCTCCTCTTCATCGATTAATATATATCACTTATAACTATTCATTTGGGGTCCAAAAAAGGTTTTAATTTTCTTCGTCAAGATTGGACATATTCCAGATACTAGATGATTCGGGAAATAAAATCAATCCTGCATGGTACATAGTACATAGTCATAATATAATAACAAACTTTGAACAGCTGTAGTACTCATTTTACAAAGCATATAGAATTTTTTAATTGTTTTTTTTTTATACTTTACAATCTTAGCTGAGTCTCAATGCTGTTCAGCCGGGGCCCAATGTGGCATAATCCTTTTTTAAACAAATCTTCGAGAAATCAATACTTCACGTTAAGTAAATTTTAAGTAATAATTGCTTATTACAAATTGAAATTTCAATTCGATTTCGGATTTGGCAGAATTAAAAAAAAAAAGATAGATCAGAGCTGTTCAAGGTCGATTTTTTGGCTTGAAATCGAAATGTGTCCGCAATCATTCATTAATTGAGTCATCTTTTGTGTATGCATATTACAATATATTCAATGATATGTACTATAAAATATAAAATAAGAGCGTATAATTGAACAATTTTAATGGCTGTACTGATTATATAAATAAATTTGAGATGTAATATTTTCAACTTATATATGTGCTATATAATATAATTAGAATTCAACCGAAAATTAAATTTCGGCTTTGATTACTGCTAGTTGAAATGAAAAATTGAAATTTCAGTTGGGTTTTAGTTTTGGCAGAAATTAAAAAAAGTAATTATTACAAATTGAGTTTTAGCCCAAGCAAACGAAAATGGATTGAAATGAATTGAAATGGATTCAGATTTTCAGAAACATTGATTTACGAATGTTAAAATAAATGCTTTTTAATCCTGAATGCATTTTTATTCATTTACAGAAATTGCATGGAGCATATCTCTATGCCTTTCAATTTAAAAATAATATTAACTTTTTCTGTAAAACATAATTGTGAATACTGTTTAATTCAAAATTTTGAATAGGAAATGCAGTTTTTCAACTGCACTTTTTTTATAATTGCATCAATTGAATCTAATTAAATCCAATTAAATCTAAAAAAAATTTGCTACTTAAAATACGCATGCGGATAGAAAAAAATTTCAATCTACAATATTTTAATCCATTCTCGTTTGCTGGATGGCTTATGAATCTTCTCGGTGTCGCCTTTTGTCCTTGCGACATAATCCAGCCAATAAACGAGTCTGTCAGAGAGTAAGTTTAATCTATCGCTATCGCGTATCGCTACCGAAATCTTTCATGCATTTTCACAGTAATAAGTTTATTCTAGATTTTAATACCTGAGAAATGTAATAAAAATCCTCAAAGAAATTGTTTTTTATTTAGTGCAATTGTGAAATTTTTGGGAAAAAGAAAATTTAGGTATCTGAACGCAGCAAACGAAAATGCATTGAAATGGATTGAAAATTTTCAGTCCATCCGAATTCGTATTTTAAATTCAAAATAAATTGAATTTCATATTAAAAAAAAAGTTTATACATGTGAAAGATTAAATAAATTAAAGTAGTAATTACATGAAATTCTATAGTATTATTTTAAAACTTTTATACAAAAAATATACGCTAGCTGTATAATGCAGGAAATGTATTAATATAAAATATATATAAAAGCGATTAATTTATTTAATTAAAAATAAGGAATTTACATATATACATTTATTGTACATATGTATTTACATAGTTCTTTTTATGTTTCTTTTAAATGTTTCTTTTAAATTTCTATTAAATGAAGTAGCATTTATGATATATTTTTACGGTACAACTTTTTTTTAATTCAATTGAATTAAAACAAACTATTTCTTATTTATAATTTTAAAATAGTATTCATGATGCATTTTTAAATGAAACAATGGATTTTCTACTCACAATTTTGAATAGCATTCATGGCCCATTTTAAGAAAAATTTTTTTTTTATTCAATTGGATTAAAAAACTGCATTCCTTCTTGATGCTTCCATGGGTGTTTTCTATATAATTAATCTGCTTCGCGGGTTTTCTCCATGTCTTGGTCCATTCTTGATGTGCCAACGTTTCGTGGGCCTTGCAGTCCACTTCATCAGGGCGAGGAGCAGCCTGATACTGAGCTGTTCCTCCAGGTCCTTCCTTTTTATGTTACGCTACTTGTTGAGGTGGGAGTTTTTTGGTGGTGGAGGGGGGGGGGGTTAGAGTGATGGGGGAGACAGATAGTGGAATCTTGGTCGGTCTTTGCTGGTCGGGAGGATGGTCTTCCATATCTTACTTATGTTATAGCCATTATCCCTGTTTAGATTGTTAGGGTGTTTTTGTATTTCTATGACTTCTCTGTATTTTCTTGGGAAGTATGATGTGGTGTTGGTTATCGTGGTTGCTTGGTCAAACAGTATTTGATGTCCTGTTTCGACGTTATGTTCTGATAGTGCCAACTGTGTGACGTGTTTCAGTCTGACGTCTCGTTGGTGTTCTTTTATCCGTAGGTTTACCATTCTCCCGGTTTCCCCGATGTATACTTGTCCGCGGGAACACGGTATTCTGTATACTCCTGCGGAACTGAGTGGCGGTCTTGGATCTTTGGGGTTTCTTAAGATTTGTCCTATCTTTTTGGGTGGTTTGTAGATAGTTCGGATATTGTGTTTGTTCAATATCCTGCCGATCCGGTCTGTAGTTCCTTTGACGTAAGGGAGAATGGTTAGGGTCCTGTCGTCTGTTTGTGTGTTCGGAGCCGTTGTCTTGTTTGTGTGTTTGTTGATTATTTTGGTTATGTCTTTTTTGTCGTGTCC